TGGGAACCAAGCCAACGTCACCAAAGTCAGTGGGAACAGGGGTGGTGGTTTGTGCACGGGGCCCCTTGGGGGCACGGCTCTGGGAAAGCAGCCTGGGAGACGAGGCCTTCTTGTGCGGACACTAGATGGCCTTTGTGCTAGGCTTGGGGCCATTCAGAACAGTGAGAAACATGGCAAGTTTGTGTGGTTTTGTTACATCACAAAAAATGGCACTCGTGTACGGTGGGAGCCGAAAGAAGAAGGCAGGGAGGGCGTCACCTCGCTCCCTCTTAGCTGGGCCCACGCACCCCAGGTGACTCTGCTTTTTCACTGTCCTGCGCATGTCCTTCAGCGACCATGAAAACGTGTGCAGGCATTGATTCTGGGGCTACAGAGGAACTTGGGCAAGTAGGCGAATTTGCAAGTATAGAACCCATGAAGAATGAGGATCTAGGGCTGCGGTGTTTTCTTTAATCCTGGTAACAACCCAGCAAGGGAGGAGCTGTTGTCTTATCGCCTTGATTTTCACACCTGAGAAAGCGAAAGCGAAAGGCTTGAGTTGCTGGTTCAAAATCCGGAAGTAACAAAATGGGGGAGCTGGGACTCCAACACAGGCAGGCTGGCTTCAGAGCCTAGACTCAGCGTTGTAGGACTTCTTTTAGGGTTTGTACTTTCAATGAACTTTGTGCAGAATATTTCAGGAAACTAAGCTTGGCTCATAAGGCACGAGAAGTCAAAGACCCCAAACCACACTCTTAAACCTCCAGTGTTATTTTCCGAGTGAAATTTCTCACGCCCAGGTACAGGTCAAAACACAGGAAGTTGCCCTTTTTAGGTCAAAAGTAGTTGGGCTTTCCCAGTTTTACATGGTTCAACCCCGTATCTCCTTGGAAAACTTTCTCTCCATCACCGGAGATATTGGTTTATTTCCTCTTTTGGCATATGGAAAACTAAAGTCACTACGCTTCAAATCGAAGTTTCTGAACAATGTACAGACATACCTTTTTATTGACTAGAAGTGTACAGATTTGTTATCTTACAGCAGACATTTATCATCTATTTTCCGATCTTGTAAAATTAAGGACAAAAAGATAAGATCTCACACTTTAGTAGAAATAGGCCAAAGAGAAGTATTTCCTGCCCCCCCAAATACTGAGCATTGGACCGTTTTCTCAGAGCAGTATATGATCTGCTTTTTCTTTCTTTCTTTTTTTTAATTTTTTTTTTAATGTTTATTTATTTTTGA